ATTCTTATATAAGATTAAAATTTAATTCTATTGATATCAATATTTCCTTTATGATAAGATTCTCTTTATGATGATGATAATAATCATCAAAAAAATCACTATGGTATAGACATTACTTTTAAATTTAGATACGAGAATATTTTGGAATAAAAGTATGCAAATAATGGTATTAAGTCAATTTTAGAAGGTTGAAATATAATGTCAAGTAAATCTATCTAATTATTTTAATTAAGTTGCTTATGATAGCCTCTATTGATGTTCACATTACTTTTAATTTTCTTGATTTTATAAATATTTTCAATAACTTATAATTATACTTTAAAAACAAACTTTTCTATTTAATCATTAACCATATAATTTTTTTTAGGTTTATTGCTAAAGATGAAATTGAGACTCTTTTGGCACTTCAAATTAATCTCATGATTTCCTGTTCAATATCATAAAATAAGCAATTATTGTTCAATTAATTTGATAAATCAAAATTGACTTATGATTAATTATTATTATTATTTTCATTTCTCCTCTTAACTAATAGGTACATTTAAACAAAGCCTTTGTAAATTTGAACTTAATTCAAAATCATAAAGGATATAAATTATTGTTATATTAAAAATTTTATCATCTACTAGAGCATTACTTATTATTGTGTAGAATTATTAATAAATTCAATAACACAAAAATGAGGTCTAATTGGATGAAACTTTAAACCTATAGAATTTAATTCATTTAAGATTCTGTCTCATTAAAAAGAGATAGTAAAATAAACTAATTTATTTTAGCTAAACTCTTTTGATGATGTTTAACATTACCACTGCCTTCACTGAATTGCCTAAATAAGGGATAGACATTAAAAATAGAAATTAAACAAGCACAATCAGAAAAGTCTTCAAAGATATCCTTATTAAATAGACTAAGGGCTTCAAACAAAAAACGTTTAGTCAAATAGAGAATAATATCAGACTTTCAAGATAAGAGGATAGGAATACTATTATACATTAACTAAACTTTTGACTACTTAATAGCGTTTAAAATTCATTTATTTGAAGGCACTTTCAAGATAAAATTGATTTAGCTAATGGTATTCTAAAATTACATGCTCATACCGTTAAACTATCATATAATACCTCACGTATTAATTATCGCTTATTTTGAATTAAATTTCATATAGAAAATATCATCAAAACAGAAAAAAATATTAATTGTAGATTATCCTACTTCAATTTAACTAAATTTAACTTATAATCTTAGTTAATTTAGTTGCTCGCTTGATCAAATTCATATCCATAAATCAAATGTTATTATTCTAATTTAAATTTTCAATCAGTGAATATTGTTTAATTTCTTAAACAATGAAGAATTAATTAAAGTCTTTATTTAAGTAAATAGCATTTGCTTGTCAATTTTTGCGTTTTATTTCTAAAAAATGTTACTTTAATACATTTTATTATAAAATAACTTAATAATAACTATAAATTCTGCTTCTTTCTGGATTTATCTAGAAATTTTTAACAATACATATCATATTGAGTTCTTAAAGAATAAAGAAATTAGGATAAATAGATTTAATATGAATTATTTTATAATAACTTAAATCTATATACTTTTTATTCATAAAAGAAGTGTTAGAAGTTGACTATATTTAATTAGAACAATAATTATTGTGATGCTAACTATATTCCAATTATACTAATGTTTGGCTGAAAGTAATTTTATTTAATAAATAGATAATTCAAACGTTTTGTAATTCTTATCTTAATATTTCAAATCTTCTAAATAAACAAATATCACTAATAGGCAAAAAGCAAACGAAAATTATAAAATATCAAAAGTAAAGGGTTTCAAATTCAAATAAATTCTTGAAAAAAGATGATAAATTTGAAGAAGGTCACAATGAAGCCACAATTGTTTAATCGTAAATGAATAAAAGTAATATTTAATATACTAACAAGGTGATGTATCAAAGATGAAAAAGTATTAATAAACTATTGATAATTATGCGTAAGCAATCACTTAGTGTTGGATGAGAATGAATTTAAACGGTTAATTTTGGAAGTCAAAAATAAGATTTGAAATATTTTTTCATAGTAGTTTATATAATTTTAATTTAAACTATATAACCCTACCTCAGAGCTGAAAATTTCTGAACAACTGAAAATAAGATCAGATGAGTATATTACCATGGGAGGATTTAACTTAAACTATTCTTGTAAAATTAAAACAGTAATTGGGTTATTAAAGCGCTTAGATCATTCTTATTTTTAGAATTTAATTTAAATATATAATTATTTAGTTATTATACATATTTATATTTTTAAATGAATGAAAAAATGTTTTATATCAATATTTTTTATAACCACGACCATCGTCTGCAGAAGTGTAGTAATTAATTATTGAACTTAATTATTACGAAAAAGTAATTATTTATTAAATGCTAGAACAATCTCAACAAAATACTACTTGACTTTATTGCAATATATAAAAATCATAATATATAATTTAGTCTAATATTTACAAAAGTATTTATTATTCTAATTACTAATATAAAATTATAAATTAATAATCTATGTAAATTATTAATTTAGTTAGTGATAAAACAAACAAGGATGTTAGAAATTTTTCATTAGAAAGGTTGATTAAAACAACTGAAATTTCATATATGACAATCAATCTCATAAGAATAGGGGATAACATTTTTTGCACCAAAATCATAAAGCAAAGAATTAAAAAAAATACTGTAGCCATATTGAAAATTAATTGATACTTAAAATTCAAGTAGATTAAATTAATAACTTTATAAACAGCCTAAAAAAAATATATGTAAATTAGTGATTTGCTTCAATAAATATACAATCTGTAAGTAAAATTATTGGACTCTACAATAGAATGTTAATATCATAATAATTGATTTTGATATTTGTTTTATTTATCATACTATTTATATTAAAAGCTCTATCTATCATGTTTGCAATTATTATAGTTTTATAAAACATTTTTTTTAATTCTTGAATTTATAAATATAAATAACGAAATTTGGAGAATCTCTGATTTGCAAATTTATTTCATATTTCAATAAAAGTACTCTAAA